AATTAATATAATTGATTAATTAAATTAATCAATTGATTTTAATTGAATTAACCGAATGAAGAGTATTAACAACTAAATATTTACATTTTATTTTGTAATTTATATCGAACTTTAAAATGTAATACATTTCAAATTAGAAAAATATAATATCATGCATAAAATATCATTATATTGAAATAAAATTATATACATACAACATTGGATTTGATTTATCGAGATCAGTGATTTCTATTTTATATTAATTGCCTTTGCGATGTTGCTACAGATTTTCCTTAATATGCAAATTTTTAATTTTCTTAATATGAAAACTACCTTCCCACTTTTACGTATAAACAATTTTATTGAAAAATTAAGTATAAAAAGTATTTGAAGGTCAAATTTTATCAAATATTTAAAGTAATCTTATGTCTTGAATTATATTTTGTATTAATAATTTGTATGAAATTTTAATAAAAAATATGTTGTGGTTTAATGAAAATGAATTTTTCACTCTATTGGTTTACATATTAAAAAATAAAAAAAAAAAAATATATATATATATATATATATATATATAGGTATATTTCAAATAAGATATTATTATATTTTAATGTAATTACAAGTTTTTCTCTATACAAAAGGAAAAATAATTTAAAATTTGAAACCCTTTACTAATATTTCTTATATAATTTTAAAGATAAACTAGAGTCAGTTTTAAATATATCTTCGCAAAATCTGTATGCGCCATGGGCAAAAGGAGTCAGATCATGCGCAATGAGAAAATAGGCAAGGTATTAGGCATTTTGCGATAATGAAATGAATAAATCATCCGTCCATCTCAGTGGAAGCTCGATAATCATAAAGTTAAATGTCATGTCAGTGGTTTATTCTCTGTTTTACTGTTTTACTAAACAATTTTAGCCATGCTAGGAAATTCTTATAAAGATAAAAAAATGTCTAGATTCGTACCAAATTATTGTTAAAAGAATATATAAATTCATAAGGCTATATAGCTTTTATTTATTATAGCATATAATTAAATGTCTTATTGTTGCTATAATTATAATTCCTTATACATGATTACGGGGACTATTTTACGTAATGTTATAAAGAAACTATTAAAAAATGATTCCATTCGATATTTTCTTCTTTTTCGAATTATAAAAATTGACGTTACAGTGTGATGAGAACTCAATTCATATCATTAATATTTTAAACTGTTTGGATTTTGATAATTAAAATTGTCTTATAAAAATTCTTATTTTATATGTCTTATTTTTTTAAGCATATATGTCTTAAATAATGATAATTTATAAACAATATTATCACTATATTTCTATATTAGAATGCTTCCTCTTTGTTACTCAATTTTATTTCTCTATTATTATAGCTATTTTTTTTCCGAAATATCTCTGCGAATAATAATAGTATTAATAAATTACGTTAAAATTCATGGTAGAATTCTAATGAAGTACATTTTGATCATCTCCCTAACAATGAAAATCTTGCTCGCACCTGAACAAATGTGCATCGTGCGTAAATCATTCGAAAACATTTTCAAGTTGATGAAAAAATTCACTTCACGATCGGTCTCCTAATTAATAATCAATTGCCATGAATTTCTATGCCAGCTTAGCTTTCACATTCGCTATTATTTGGACAGGTATTACATAAGACTGTGGACTTGGCATAGCCGAAGGTTGATAAAATAATTAACGAGAGCGCGGGTCAACATTGTTATAGCACAAAACCATTACAATAACGTTCGGTCTTCGCTCCTGTTCACGCAATTAATGACAATATGCATTAGAAGGCTCCAGGCGCAACTCATCAAAGCCATTGCCAATATTGACTTCTACTACTACGCATGAAATTTGCCGAGAGTTCACTTTAAAAAGACACGCGGTGTTAACTGTTCAATTTTCCCAGCAGCTGGCCTTGCGATCCTGGATAGTCCAGGTTTCTTAATCGGTATCCGCAGCCCGACGGCTCCATGTAAATCCACCTTCGACTACGACTGGGACTATCGGCGTAACGCAGACAGCCTCATATTTGCCCGGGACACACACACACACACACACATATATACACATATGCATATATACGTAATTCACAACACGAGATGCACAGCACCGTTTGATGAATATTAGACTTTCAGCAGTGATAGTAGCCGCGGGCGGTAACAAATCGAGCTTTTTTTCTCTTTTTCGCATGTTGGGCATAAAGGAAAAGGGCCGATGGCAGATCAAATGGAGAACCATTATGATCATATGCGGGCCCTAATTTAATTTCCAATATCGTATTATTACTGTATTCTATATACTCTATAAAGCGTATAACATCGACAAACTTCCAATACATATATCGATAATTTTAGCCTATTGATTTATTTTAAGCCTCTATCGAGAAATTACTAGAGATTATGAATAAAATTAGTTTATTTGTGCTTATACGTCACCGCGTCATTTTCGTTTGTTTAACATTCAATAACCATTTTACTAGAATTATTCGAGTCTCTTTCTCTCTCTCTCTCTCTCTCTCTCTCCTATCTATCTATCTATATATATATATTTGAAAATTTATGTGTGTATATATATATATATATATATATATATATATATATATACACAAATTTTCAAATCTCGTATATAAATATTCAAATGAATGTAGTTTGCATTTTTATTTGATTTGAAAAATCTTTATTTTAAATATATCTTTTTTCCATAATTAGTCTCAAGATAAAGCTAGAGAAAACTTTATATTAGCTTCTACAAATAAATCCAATATTATTTTCATCAAATTACTTTATTATTATTATTTCCGAGTAAATATATATATACGTATGACTATTACTGAAATTATGAATAGAACTTTATAAAATATGTATATACTTTCGATACGTTTGATCTTAATGTGTTCACCAACATTACATATTATTATTATTATTCATTATTTTTATTAATACTTTATTTGTAATATAAGAGAATGGCATTAACAATCTGTTATAAATGGCTTATTATATGAAATTTCAATGGTTTATGAAAACATTTTTAAAGTTTTAAAACTTTTTTTTTTTTTTAAATGTTATTTATTTCTTGGCTCACTATTTAACTTTATTATTCTACGGCACAAAATACTATTGTGACGTTGGGCTCAAGTTCTAAAAAATTTTTTCAATACACGTGTTGCATTTATAATTACAATTTATCCTTAACCTTTTTGCAAGTACATTGATTTCACTAATTAAATATATTAGTATTATTTACAATAATTATTATTCTATACCGTACCCTATATTTACTATATTTTATTAATTTAAAGTACTGTAATTAGTACAAAAATGTTAGTTTTGTTTAGGTTGTTACTACAATCTTAAAGTAACAAAAACAATAGTAATACAAATAGTTGAAAAATGTATTCTTCGTACACACTCAATTATTGGATACATTATTATATAAATATAATTTAAGTATAATTTACAGTATTCTTTACTTAAAGCTATTGCGTGCTTTTTTGAATGATACAAACCAATTATTTTATCACTTTGCATAACGTATATCGCGATAAAAATAATAAATCATGTTAAAAAAAGAAAAAAACGCGGTACGTATTTTTTCTTGTATAAAGTCAAATTTGTCAGTATAATAAATATAACATATAAGAATATTGCATAATCGCCATAATTGCCATCATTGTCGTCACTGTCACTATCGTCATCATCATTACCATCATCAAAAAATTATACAAAATTATTATTGTATCGACGCAATACTCCAAATACAAAAACTACATATAATTATACGGAAATATAGTAAATAAATCAAAGTTAATTTTTATTGATTAACTAAACTAAGCTGGTATAAAAATTGAAATAAACCGAATTTCATACTTAATAAAATTGCTGTGAGCCAATCATATAATGCATTTTCTTTAGATTATTGTAAATTATGGCAAAATCTAGATTAGAACTTGCTTCGTGTATTTAAAAAAAAAAAAAAAAAAAAAAATGCAATTACTTTGACAGCTTTAGCAGTGGTACATAAAAAATTTTTGCGAAAATATAAAGAGAGGCAGAGGGACTTAGTAAAATTAATAGCTCGGGCAACAGGGAGAAAGTGCCGTGAAATTTTCCCGTTTGTAAATACACCCTACAACTAACGGGTGCATACGTTTGTGTACGAGAACAGTGCCAAGCGATAGTGGTGGGCTTCCTGGGCTCGGTGGTGGCCATCGTCATGGGAGCCATACGCAACGGCACCGTCTCTCTCGACCACGCCTATCTACTCTGCGCGAGCAGCCTCGTGACCGCGTCCTTGGCCTCGTTCGTCCTCGGGCTCATCACCGCGGGCGTCATCGTCTTCTCGCGCCACTGTCACATCAATCCGGACAACGTGGCCACCCCCATAGCCGCGAGCCTCGGGGACATAACCTCGCTAGCCCTACTCTCCTGGATATCGACGATACTCTACGAGTCCATCGATAAGCAGGACTGGCTCGCGCCCCTCGTTATCGCCTGCTACGTCCTCGTTACTCCCCTCTGGGTCTGGATAGCCAAGAAGAACAAGTACACCAACGACGTCCTCTACTTTGGCTGGACACCCGTCATCGTCGCCATGCTCATCAGCAGGTCGGTACACCAGTTTTTCTCTCCTTACACGTTCTCCCCGTAATTTAGCTTCTGCCATTCTGCTGGCAACTTGGACAATGAAAGCCGCTCATATAGAATTATATTGAGGATCGGTTGTGCTTAGACTTAGGCATCTTATCAAATGGGACTTTTACCCTAAAATCCATACAGGCACGTGTAATTTGTCAAAAAATTTTATTTTTATTTTAATGCCAGTAGTTAAGCATTGATGTTACATCGACTATACATAAATAAAATTGGACTGACGAATGAGTGTCCGTTATCTGCTGGCTTTAATTTGACGATTCAATGTTTATTATGAAAATAATTGCGAGGCCAGATAATTTTAACCCATAATTAATATCGGTATAATAGCACTACAGGCAGACATGCTGTCGTTGATTTAGAAATGAGAAATTGGCATTCGATGATTTTTTTTTCCCTATGTAAAAAAAATATGCAACGTAAATTCCACACAACTGTCTATGAAAGAATATTAAAATTTGTCACGCAAGCTTTTAAAAAATGATCTTAAATTGTGTTTATGTTTTTTTTTTTTTTTTTTTTTTTTTTTTTTTTTGTTCATAACATAAATATTTAAACATGAAAGAAAGAAAAAGCTATGAATATATATATATATATATATATATAAATATGAATTTTAAGCTAGAGATTTATCAACAGTGAGCGAGTGATTTGAGTAAGCATATATTTACCTTATCGTAGAGTGAGCATTAAATTCTCATACTACAGATCATTTAGTAGTGCGCCTAATTGAAACGAACTTACTTATATATTATCTTGATATTATCATAAAATCGTATGTTAACTATGAGCGACAGATCTTATATAAATAATGCCAATGCTTATCTAATGATTACCATTGACATAAGGCAAATCTATATAAATCTGTGTTAAAGTATTGTTTGGAAAAAAAGATTAATCACCAATAAGTTGTTCAAATTGATAATTTAACAATATTGACATTGAGCGCACCGGATATTGTTACGGATTTGACCAACAGCACTCACACTTGTAATGAATGATAAATAACTTTCCGGACGCGTAATATTAACACATTGAGGAAGCGGACATTATCAATGCTGCTGTTGAAAAACTTAATAGATAATTAATATATACGAATGTAGAGGAGAGAACAAAAATTCTTAATTCTACTTTTCGGCACTTAAAATATGAAACAAGCTAAGACTACAGACGCTCCACATTAATAATATTTCACATACGACAATGTCATTCATATCTCCAAGTGCAGATACTAATTGTCGATAAAGACAGATAAGACAGAGGAATTGAAAGCGCCCGCACTCTAAATATAACACGTACAATATCGACCACAGAGCAGGCAATTAAAGTACAAGCCGACGTAATGTTAAATATCACATTACCTTAACTTTCAGCTGCGGTGGACTGATTCTCGAATTTATGGTGTCTCGCTTCGAGAATCTCACGGTCTTTCAGCCGGTAATCAACGGCGTCGGCGGCAACCTCGTAGCCGTCCAAGCGAGCAGGATCTCAACAGCTCTGCACAAACAGGCGGAACTTGGCACACTCCTTATCCCTCCAGGACACACGCATCCGGTTATCTTCATCACCCCCATTGCCAGCTTCTTTGGGAAAGGTGAGGGACAGCAGGCACAGCACGTGCCTCGGGGCTCTATCGAGTTTTTCGAATCGCGCGACTTAAGAACGAAAATTCCTTCTCAAGATAAGCCGTAATCGTATCAACGAACGTCTTTTTTTTGTAATCGGCGATCGTTTCCTACTTCCTCACGTTCGATCATTAGGAATTATACACCTCGTTGTCGAGATAGTATTATCTGCCGGATTTCTTATTGAGTCATGGATCATCGAGTCATTCAAATTACTCAAACTATTCAAATTGTTCGACATATCGTTGTAAACTATAAAAATTATGCTTAAAATTGATCCTCCAAGTATAAATAATTTCTGGAGAAAGAATGATAAAGAACAATAAAAAAAAAAAAAAAAACAAACAAAAAACAACAAAACAATAAAATATTTAATAAAAATTTTATAATTGGATAGTATTTTGAGGTGTGTAGATTAAGAATGTCTATCTTAGAACGTTGAACGATGAACGAATTTTCAATGAACTGACTTTACGACACATAAAATTGATTTAGAAAATTAGTAAAATCGTCTTGAGTTATCTTGGAGAAAACATTATTACAAATATATTTAAATTTTATATAAATTAAATGTTTTCTGCTTGCCGTTTTCGACGCTTGATTGGTAAAACAGTGCACCGTCTTACTTTACGATCTAAATGAAAATATTTATGATCATTTTTTTTTTATTCGACTTGTTTATATTCTCTAAATTATTCGGGTTAATTCGGCATTTAAAAATATTTCTAAAATTTTAATATTCACAGCTTACAACAGTACATTATAAATTAATAATACTGACAAAATTAATTTCTCGGTAAAAAAAAAAAAAAAAAAAAAAAAAAAAAAAAAAAAAATACTCTAGCTAACAATTCAATTACAAGTATTCTTGTAAGAAAGCAATCGTAGAAAATTAATTAACTAAATTAATAGAATATTAATCGTATCGTAAATCATATCGTAAATGTTTACCTATAATTCCATACTTTATGTATTTATAATTATATAATTGTAAAATCAGTTAAAAAAAAAAAGAAAAAGAAAAAAAAAATTAAATAAATCACTCATTCCTACACAATGGAAGATGAAATATAGCGTTCGTTTAATGTTCTGTACAAATAAGATACAAGGTTGTGATTCGCTGCATAACATTGTAATTGATATGATCCATCAAATTAAATAGCAAACGCTTGATTGACTTAACTATCATTGTATCAGCAAGGGTCACTGGGTGACACCAATAGTTTATTAAAGTCCGTGAAAAAAAATTAATACCTCAAAAATCCAAGATATTCAAGTACCTTTGTTTATAGTATTTTATTACAAAATAAAAATTTATCTTTAATATTAATTGCTTTTGGAAGTATCGAGTTTTTATAATCGCCAAAAGCTTTAAAATTATAAATTTGTAATATTTCAAAATGTATTAAATTGTTTCATTTTCTTTTCTTTTTCTTCATCTATTTATCAAGATAAAAATAAACATTACTAAATGTGAATATACTAGCTATATGCAATCTACGCTAAGGATATTTTATACTCCTGATATAATTTTATTACGAACTAATACTTTTCCTAGCAGAAAATATGAAAATATCTAGTATATTTTACATAACGACTATTCCGATACTTTGCATACACATTTATAAAGGCTTTTTATAATAATGATTTTAGGAAAACCATTTTAATCAAATTACATTATAGTACATGATATGTGTTTCCAAAATAATTCAAGGCAAATTTTTGTTTTTTTACTTTAAACCGAGCAAAATTAGTCTCTGTCGATTAAATTATATTTAAATAATATTATCTGATTTTCTAATAACGTTTAGGTTTAATATTCAAATACCAATCAAATATTAAATGTATGAAAAATTAGGCCTTCGATATAAATTAAAGAAGAAAAAATAACGAAAAAAGAAAGAAAAAAGAATTTAATATTTTTTATGTATGAAATATTGTTTATTCGAGAAAAAATTTTATTTCTTTAGTCAGTCATTGGTATCGTTATTATTTTATTATATATATATATATATATATATATATATATATACAATAGGGGAATATATTTTTATAAACTTGTAAGTTTATAAAAATATTTGACCAATTAACTTGATCTAATTAGTTTTGAAGTTTTACCACTGAAATAAAATAACGACCTTATGGACATACAAATGTGAATAAGACCTTAGGAATTATCTTCTAGTATTAAATAATAGGATCTAGGGTCCGTGATACAGTCTAACCGTCTCTAACTATCGAGAGAATTGTTGCTTAGATTGAATGTACCAAGCATCATAAAGTAATAAAAATTTAATGGTTGTATAAAAAAAAAAAAAAAAAAAATATATATATATTAAATATATATATATATATATATATATATATGATAAAATATAATTACAAATTGAAAATAGTAATATTTTAACTGAATAGATAATGACATTTAAAATTGCCAATATTTTTCTTCTCGTTTGATAAAATAATCTTTAATAATTTTTGCTATTTGTAACATAGCGCTCTGCTTAGCAATCCTATTAAAAATAAACTTAATAAATATCATTATCTTCGAAATATTTATGCTAACCCTATGATATTCCATTATTCAATACATTAACGATTAATAAATCGCGTTAACGACATACTCGGACGACCGCGATACTGGTGAAAAATCTAAATATAATAAGACATTGTCGAGCTCAACTATCGAAAGTGGACTGTCGGCGCTCTAAATAAAAAAAAAAAAAAAAAAGATAAGAAAAATAAGAAAAACAAATAGAAGTCTGTGATATCGAAGGTCGGTAGAGAATATGCGCAAAGCGTGTAATTTTAACGTTTTTCCAATGCTTTCAGGAATGCACGCGCGAACTACTCGCGTCCTCATGGGAATGGTAATACCGGGGCACGTGATTTTCATTTACCTGATCAACTACATGAAGGAAGGCCAAACTTCAATGAGCACGCTCTTCGTATTCGTCTACCTGTGCGCGGCGATGCTTCAGGTGGCAGCCCTGCTCTACATCGCCTACATTATGATCCATTGGATGTGGAAGCGAAAAATTGACCCGGACAACTCGGCGATACCCTATTTGACGGCGATGGGCGACCTACTGGGCATTAGCCTCCTCGCCATTGCCTTCCAGTTCCTTTATCTCGTCGGTGATCAAGAATTCGGCGAGCCAATCAAGCCCTGAGGCACATTCAAGCCGATTTTACGGCTTAGCGACGGAAAATCGAAGCGCGCGTACATACAACTTATCTCCACATGCGCTCATTCCGCGTTCATGTGAAAATCCTTAAAAGAAACTGCGCGTTACTGTGCTTCGTGCGTTGTATATACGCTGAGACGACTGAGAATATAACAACACAGGACCATCAATTTCTTCATTTTCTCACCTCATTCCTAGCCGTCTCGTTCGGTTATTATTATTCACGTGGAAGATAAACATACTGACGCGTATCCAGCCTTACAAACTTGAAAACATTTCTATTGTAAATTCTATTGTAACTCATGGACGTTATTCGTCTGCGTGCCCGCGCTCGCCTCTATATGCGTGTAAATGGACGAGTCCTTTACTAATGGTTATTGTTGTGTGATAAAGCCATCGGTGAGCCGCTGATTTGCTTCTTTGCGCGATATGCACTGACAAAAGCCTCTCGAAATGAAATATTCATTGAAAATCATGTGATTTTATTTTGAAACGAATTCACGCCACGAGCCGTCTAGTTACGAATTGAATTAAATGCAGTACATATGTAGATAAAGTATACTATATATGTTTCCGGACTGGATGCCAATTAAACTATACGTTTATGAATTATTTTTTATTTTATTTTATTTTATTTTATTTATTTATATATTTTTTTTTCTTTCTTTCTTTCTTTCTTTCTTTCTTTCTTTCTCTCTCAGTCAACATTGAATGCTTTATACATTGTGTACATAAATGTAGGCATAAATTACCGGGCACTGTCAATGTCATCGTTTAGATTTGGAAAGTGAGCTTTCGTTTTAATAATTATAAAAATTTTTGCCCTTTATGAAAACTTTTACGTGCAATGCACCTTATACTCGGCATATTAAATGCACCTCGGATTCTTTCAATAAGACATATCTTTTTTTAATATTTTAATGAGATATTACCGCTCTTTTAAATAGTTTCGCTCGTTCTTATGAACTGTAGTACGCAATGAAATGCATTATTAATATAGTTTTTAATTTAACGTTGAATTTCAAATTTAGCAATTGTCTAAGATCTTATGTAACTGTTATTTTTGTTAACGTTCTTTGTATATTATGATTTTTTAACAGTATGTAACGTAAAAAATTACGTTTAATTTATGTTAAGTTATATATAAATAATTATTGTAAAAATAACACAGGGGATGTGTTAAGATACAATTATCATTGATATATTATATTTTTCAACAGTGTACCGTAAAAATGTATATACAATCGAAATATAAATATAATTATTATTTAAGATTTTTTTTTTATTTTTTTTTTATTTTTTTTTTTTTTTTTTTTTTTTTTTTTTTTTTTTTTTTTTTTTTTTTTTTTTTTTTTATATAGTAGTTTAAGATAGTCATGTTTGTTTCGAAAAATATACTAACAATAATAGTAATGTAAATTTGTATTGCGAATCACTATTTGAAATATGATTATGATAACAAATTGCTACAAAAATTAGTTACAACAGTGATGTATATATTATTATCAATTCTATATTTATAACATGCTATTTTGAATGATATATCTAAGCCTTAAATACGATTAATACTTTATTGCCGAACAATTACGTTATCTAGAAATGTTTATCATTCTATTTCACAAAAGTGCCGAGATCTTAAAATTACAAAAGAAAGCTCGTATAAATGGAAATTATAATTAGAAAATTCGGCTTTGTCGTTTTAACAAACTTATCTTCACAATAACGTTATTTCGCAAAATTAAATAATGTCAATTCAAATGAAATAGTTAGACATCAATTCAGTGTAGAAAATTTCAAGTCCAACAAAACAATTATAATAATTATTTTACATTAGTTAACATTTTTAAGGATTTTTATAATACGCAATGAATCAATACATATAGCTTTTGTCACAGGCAAAAAGTCATTTTACTCTTCTGTCGTTAAATGTCAATTACTTTATCTTATTTAATGGCAAATTATCACGATTTTTGAAAGATAAGAGATATGTATTATAAAATGATAAGTACAAATTTAAGATATAACAAAATTTTATATTTTTCTTGGGCTTCGTATTCGTTAAGTTTATAAAAGTTACGATTAAAAATGTATATTATTATAAATTATTAAGACGAACACGTTTTTATTATGTACATCATTTAATTACTATAATTATTTCCAATGTCGGTATGCTATTGTCACTTCATCACATTATTAGCAAATTAAATTTACCTTTAAACGATTATTATGCATGCTTAATAGATTTTTATGAACATTATTAATAGTAGAAATTATTCGAATGAAAAAATAATAAATTTTTATTATAGTATTGAATTATTTCAATATATAAGTAAACGCTTTTAGAACACTACAACAGAATTATATAAATTTCAATACTTATACGTACAATTTTCATCTAACGTAATATCATTAGGACAGAATAACGTGTTGGTATTTCATATTTTTCTTTAATTTAAAAATGCAGTATATATAGTATAAAGTTTCATTAAAAAAATATATTTTGTATTATTATTTACGTTAAAAGAAAATTAATTTACAATAATAATGTGGACAGATTTATAATTTTCACTTTTTCCTTAACTTTTTAAAGTAATTAATAATTTTTTTGTATTATAAGTAGGTAAAATTATTGTTTTATATTATTGTATTCTTGTACTCGTTAGTTATAAAAATTAAAATTACATTTTACTATTGATACAATCAAGTGAAACAATATAAAATTATTCATGATGATTTTTAAAATAAGAATATTTTAAGTTGATACGAATCCGAAATAAACATATTTCTATTAGAAATGATTTTCAGTCGACGAGTTTGTTATTTTTGGCCCTTGACAATTCATTATTATAATAAAAGTAAATGTTAAAATTTTATAGACTTGGTTGTTCGTTAGATTAATACATTATTAGTTAAGTGTACAAATTAATATTGAAGATAATTTTTTTTCAATAACGAATAGCTTTAAATTTGTAAATATTATAAATATTAGAAATGTATCGCCTTTGACAGATTAATATTATGAGAGAATGACTAATATTTAGTCTATTTTTTTATATATTATATATAACAGACAAATTATACAATCGTTAATAAGATACTTATCGCTTCGAATTTATGAAAAAATTTAAATAAGATTGATTTAATAAATTTATTCTATGGAAATTTATTCTACGGAGTAAAATTTTACCGGACAATAAAAAAAAAATTACATTTGAAAATTCAAACTCGGACCTGGAAAAAGATTAAATAAATTTCTTAATCTGTTTATTCGGTATAGCGTGTATTAAATAATTAAATAATTATTATCGCTTAAATAATTCACTCGAATGGAGATTTAGAAAAAATTGAAAAAAAAAAAAGTCTCAAACTTGATCTCGAAAATAATTCGCTGTATTTATTAGAATAGATGAGTAGTTTAAAACGCTCGTGCCTGTGACAAAATATACTAGTATTTACTCATGTGTTACATACACGCTCATAAGAGATAAAAAAATATATTAAAATAATAATCGAACATTCGATTTGTAGAATCCAAAAATGTGAAAAGTAATAATTGATCACAAGTTTCCCATCCTCTCTCTCTCTCTCTCTCTCTCTCTCTCTCTCTCTCTCTCTCTCTCTCTCTCTCTCTCTCTCTCTATCTATCTATCTATCTATCTATCTACCTACCCATCTATCTATCTGTCTGTCTTTCTCTTTACCAATCACCCACATTAAGCAATTATTATTAAATTGTACAAAGATCACCGACTTGAATTTGTTACGGTGTACGATATTTGTAAAGTTCTCAAAAAAACATTAAACTATAATTTAAATATGTCCTATTGCTAAATATATTTATACACTTCCATTATAAAAATATAAAATAATAGTTAAGTAGAAAAATTTTACAGTGTTATACAAGAATTATTTTTTAAAATTGTTATAATTTTTTTATTAATCTTATCAATAATCATATTATATTATACTGTCTTATCAATAGTAAGTTCTATAATAACAACTTCGTATAAGAATATTATAAATATTCAATAACACATTTATATATTATTATGATTCATATTTTATTAATTATTTATATTAATTATTACGAAATTTTATACAAATTGTACTCAGTATAAAATTTGTTAATTTTTAGGTAAAGATAAATTGTGCCGATTGAGTTGTTATCCTTAAGAATGTATTATATATTGCGAGTAATTTTTAATCGTATAATTTAACGAATTAATAATGCAAAATTAAAATCGAACTCTAGGAGAGAAAGGAAATGACAGAGAGAGAGAGAGAGAGAGAGAGAGAGAGAGAGAGAGAGCGAGGGAGTAAAAACCAAAGATCGTACGAAAGGTAAAAAGAAAAAAATGCGAGTTTTCGTATTAGTTCCTTAATATAAGTAATTTAAACTTAAAAATTGATCGATCGAATGATATATAAAATTACTAATATAAAAAATCGATTGTTATATCATTGCCATAAGCATATTTGTGAAAATCTTGGAAGCGAGACTTGAGCGATATAATATTACTTCTATAACATATAAAAACGAACTATGAAATATTCAGTCGCCCTTTGGTCTACGTTTCTCTTAACTATACATTTACTAATTGTTAATATATTTTTAAATTGATATATTCATTGCTGTTATTCTTTTCTGTTGCACTTAAAAACATTATCCTATTTCGTTTTTTTTTTTTTTTTTTTTTTTTTTTTTTTTTTTTCATATTATTCCTTTTAAATAAATGTATCGTAATTTTAATGATAGCGTGCAACATTGCTTTTTTTGAGCGTGTATATTTGTACTTTGCATTTTTTTAAGACATATAATTAAAAAAGAGATAATTTCGAAAGAATTAAAAAATTTATCATAGCTAAAGGATTCCAGATATTTTGTAATAACAGAACTGAAATATTTATGTGTAGAATCTCATGTATATTTTTACAAATGATAATAAAAATAAATAAAATGGTATGCTCCGTTTGCTCAGAGTCTACTTCTCTTCTTAAATTTGAATTGGAACTTATTTCCCACAATTGTTAATTAGGAAAATCACAGATTACTATCACCTTCGGCAAAGTTACAAAAATAAACTTTTTATTTATTATATTAAAAAAAAAAAAAAAAAAAAAAAAAAAAAAAAAAAAAATAATATGTATTACATTGTATAATTAAAACATTAAAGCAAAAAACATTTGTACGAAACAAAAAAATTAATTTTTTCTATTAATTCGATAGGCCAACCACTTAAAATGGAAATTAAATTTTTATTATTAGTATAACTGGAGAAATGTATTGCTTAAATATTTATGTGCTTTTCAATGTATGCAAAGCTTTGCAAATTGTATTATTAAAAGAATCGAAATTTTTAATAAAATTATTAGTAGAATTGTTGCTTACAATAAATAATCAATTTCATAATGATATTAGAAAATGAAATATAAATTATAGAATATACAAATTTAGTTTAGCCAAAAAACAAAAAAAACAAAAAAGTATAAAGTTTTACCTATCAGATCTCACATTAATCTTGATTCAAATGTTATCAATTTATAAGAAATGAATATTATTAGAGTATTTCAAACAAACATTATTATCAGAAAATTGTCCGCGTGTATATTACAATATTTTACAAGTATTTATAATACAGTTATCAGTACAGCAGTATCTAATACTGATTTCGTAGATATTTATCTCAAAATAGCAGATTAACTTTACTGAAGTTTTGCTTCTTCTTTGACTTTCCAAAGAATAAGTTCCATGCAAGCAGTTGCGTCTTCTTTACTGTCATGTCCACCAACTAAAAATATTGCAACACAATGATAAATTATAAAAAACGAAAAATAGAAAACTCAATGGATAAAACGGATTTAATATGTGTAGCGAGAGATAAAACTTTAATGCCTATCTAACTGAAACTTACCATCATTCTGTATAATTTTGCGAAGATATTCGGAGCACAAATTTTTCAATGCCCTCTTATAAGGAGGACCATTTTTATGAGGAAACATAACACTTGTATCAACCACCGTATTATGTAAGAGCTTTAATGCTTTAAAATCACTTTCAAGACTGTGACCCACGAGTATAGTTTTCGATGAAAACATGGAAAGAAGCGTTGCTTGAACGTCTAATAACGTTGTCGTAACATTCGCCATATCTTTCTCAGATATACCAGAAAATCTAATAAATATAAGCAATTAAAATCTTGATTATGAAATATTAATCAAAAGAGCAAAATGATGTAAGTACATGAAATGTAAACATCAGTATTTATATTTATATTAATATATATATAAATTAGTAAATGAATCGATAATTTATGCAATTGACTAGTGATTATTACCTAGTATTAAAATCAATAATTGGATGTGTAGGCTTAACTAAAGTCTCATAAACAACGTGATTATCTTCATTTATTACCGTGACACGTGTCAATTCAAGACCTTGTGTCGTATAGCACATTTCACAATCGAGAGCAAATATACCTTGTTCTTCTGCAATTATATCTGTAACAATATTAATTTCAATTTAAATGGCAAATTTAATGATGGTACATCTATCGCCTACTATATGATATTATATAGTTTTAATGGATTCATGTAATATTACGTTTATCAAATGTTGCAACATATCCTCTAAGATTTTCAACATCAACAAAGTCCCAAACGTGTGTCGTTGCATCGCAACAGCCATCCGATGAGCCGTCTTGCTTGCAACACATATATTTACTTTCCCCTCTGAATGTGAATTTTCTTGCATAATGATAAATACAATTCTCTTTTCTAATGGGAAATCCATTTCTATCGACGATATATCCTTTGTTACAACGGCAACAAAAACGTTCATTAGGCACTTTGGAAAGATTCGATTGGCCCCTAGCATTTGAGGAATATAACTTTGCTCGACCCTGGCAATATTTAATGTCGATTAATTAATATTAGTTGACTTGACAGACTATGCCATTAATATTATTGAATTGGGGGAAATTTAGGAGTTATTGGTCGGTGAAGAGCGTACGATAAGTGGTTGTACATACTTTTGGACCATCCGGATGTGGTCTAGGAAAACTGTTGTCCTTCAGTTCTTGCTCCGTCATTATCCATTTAGTCAACATATTGTATAGTGACACGCCTTTGAATTCAGTTACTATTTTTCTTGGCTTGATAACGCTCCACGAACCTTTTACTTTACCTGCTAGTACGGCTTCGTGTGAAATCGTTCCGCTATGAGGTGCCGACGATTCTTTAGACTTTTGATCGACTTCCTTTCGAAGCCTATGCACAGTCAGCATACAAGAATTTTTATATACATTAACGGCTTTACATCTCTCGTAACAAGCGAATTCCTCCCGAACGGCTCGCTGAGCCGCGTCGTCCGAATTCGTGTAAATTTGCACGCAAATATTCTGCATTGCGTTAACGTAAAATTGACGCACGTTGAGTGGAAATTTTTGCGTTCCAGAAATTTGTAATGGCTCGGGACGTATTAATTGCGGCACCTAATCGCATAAATTACGTTAAGACGCAGCGCATTACAATACATAAGTGAACTAAAGTTTTTAATTACCACTTGAGGAATATGAGCAACGCGCGCACTTCCTTTTTTATTTTGAGCAACGGTCTTTGTTTCGACTTTAGCCGCCTGTTCTAAGACTTTTTTCTTCTCCAATGCCAGAGACATGGCATACGGAACTTGAGCTATTCTAATTCGACCTATAAATAATATTATTATATTATGATTAACGTTCTTTTCTTCATTACATAAGCATCAATTATATTACCATTGCCATTAATTTGATGGTCATTGGGAGCTAGAGAATTATTTTCCAATGGCTTTCTTTGTACGGTTGTTTCAAAAGCTTTTCTAGCTGATGCTTTCTCTGCTGCTGCTGCTGCTGCTGCTGCTGCTGCCGCCGCCTTTTCCGCTGCTGCCTTTTCCGCGGCCTTTTCCGCGGCCTTTTCAGCCGCCACTTCTTTCATCATTCTCCATCTTTCGTACATTCGTTGTTGCGGATTTGGCAAGCGTTTTGGAGGTTGAGTCGGTCCAACGTGCTTAGACATATTTGAGATTGCAGATGGATGGGCGACCCTTTTCTTGAAAATCTCTTCAGGTTCTTCGATTTCAGGTCTCGAAGGAGCTTTGTTCGATACACTTTTTGGATGATCGGATATTTCATATTCCTAGGATTGACAATATTTGAATTTATTTTCTAATACAATTTATACAAGTGACATTAAGAGCATTTAAATAACAAGCTTTTATAGAATTTTTAGCTAAGACTTTATATACCTGAAATATCTTTCGACACTCCTCTTCGACGTCGTGATCCGAATCAGAAGTCTCAAGAAGTTGTTCATCATAAAATGGTGAGAACTCTTCATATTCGGGACTATAACATTTATTTTCACGATCTGATTTCTCATCATTTTTATCACTCACACTGTCTTCTCTTTCTGCTGCAGATTTATTATTAGATCTCTTGGATTTGTGACTAGAATGCTTGTTTGAACTTTTGTGCGATTGTTTACTCGATTTGCTTTTTGAATCTGAAGAACTTGATTTACTCTTATGCTTACTTTTCTCATCAGACTTATGCTTACTTTTTTCTTTACATTCTTTCTTGCTATTCTTTAAATCCTTAGAGTTAGATCTTTTTCTTTTATTAGATTTAGAATCTTTTCTACTGTGATGTAAGCTATCCTTACTGTTTCTATTATCTTTAACTGTGCTCTTCTCTTTACTTCTGCTAACCCTTGAAGACGATACAGAATGCTCGCTACTCTTTGAACCATGCTTTAGCTTATCTTTACTTTTATCCTTATCCTTTTCCCTATCTCTTTTTTCCTCCACTCTCTCTTTATTCTTATTGTGCTTTAAATCATCTTGTTTGCTTTTACCGTGCCTCGAATCTTCTTCATTATTTTTACTATGCTTTAAATTCTCTTCTTTACTCTTACTGTGTTTCGAATCATCATCCTTATTTTTACTATGCTTTGAATTATTTTTGTGCTTACTGTGTTTTGAATCTTCCTTACTCGATTTTTCCGATGATCTATTCTTAACTTTTGACACATCTTCCTTACTATGTCTCAACGATTCTTCGTGCTTATTCGATTTTTCTTTATTTAATCGATTAGAATTCTTATTATAACTTCTATTATTACTTTCATCGCTTTTCTTTAATTCTTTATTCTCCTTCTCATCTTGTGAGATTTTATTTTCAATATTGTCTGATTTTTTTTCTTCTTTGGTTATATCTGCACTAGCTGTGGTATCCTCACCGTCATCGTCGTCGTCCTCGTCGTCATAGTTTTCGTCAGCCCCGTCGTCATCATCGTCCTCCTCGTCGTCTTCGTCATCATTATCGTCATCATCGTCTGAAAATTTTGGAATGATATCCAACAAATCTTGGGATTCTTCGTCAACTGGAATACTGGCATTGGATTTAGAACCACACAGAAATTCATCGAGTACATCGTAAGAATCCTCTTCCAAATGTTGCTTAGTTTTTAATGGAACTTTAGGTTTCCGTGGGACATACTCTTCTCGACGTTTTTTGGGTTTTGGATAGTAAATTTCCTTTTTCTTTTTCTTTTCAGGAATGTAAGAGTCATTACTGCTACTATTAACATCATACAAATTCAACGAAGTTTCTGACTTTATTGTTGGAACATAATTATGCACAGAATTTGTTTCTACCGCGAGTGCTTGATTAATGACAGTTGGCGTATAACTAACTTTTGATTCCTTAATACAAGTAATATTACGAATAACATCCATCCAAGGTCGTTCAACGTCGGGAGACTTTCTTTTGACTGCCTTACTCTCTCTCGTTGGTTCGTACGCGGTAATAGGTATATGCCTCTTTTTTAATTCCGCAATTGGCGTTGGATTATAAACACATGGTAACGACGTGGATGGTATAACGGGTATGCCCATGTGTGTACTCAACGCGGGATCTTCCGAATTAGATTCTTGATTGGGTGCTACAGAAAGTACGGATGGAACCAATTTAGGCTTTAATCCCTCCACAACTTGACTTATGATATTATCTGTATCCTTAACATTTTGATCGGCCAACACCTTCTTGACCGCCTCGGAGACAAGCTGTTGAATCACATCAGAATTTGCAGTCGCTATGGCGGGTGAGTCGGCATTTTGTGTTTTCGAAGCTGTCTGAGTAGATTCCAATGCGACCACCGTAGATGTGCTAGCTCCATCTTGGATGAAAATTTACTTTATTTAGACTGTCGGTTTGTCAAAATTAATTGAACAAAATACGATTAAGGCGCTTAATTTAAAAGTTAAAAACATTCCCATAAATAATTACAATTACAATTACAATTGTAAAAATCCAAAAATTAATACTTGATAGTAATATATGAGTCACTTGACCTGCAAGCGCACCCTTTACGATTGTTTACTTTAAATTCATGCACTTACATATTACTTATACATTACTGACACATTCTCTCTACAGCACGACAAACCTGTGCAAATTTACGAATAACTGCAGTGAAATATCATAAATGGCGTTAAAATAATACTTTATTGCTTTAAAGGAGTGTTTTTAACTTGTGGCATTTAGCGAAGTAATGTTTTCGCATATCAGTTCAGGATCATATAGTTAGGTTACCTCGACGTGAATGCCTGAAGTGACAGTAGGGTCTCTCACAATATCCGTTCTCGTAAAACGGACAGTTGATAGCTTTGAAGTAACCGGTCGAAGGAAGCATAACTATAAATCATCGCATTCGCCACTTCAAACAAGTCATCTCCGAGGAATGATGCGAAAGTCCTTTATCTTCTACTGTGCAGGCGCAGCATTCGCGTCAATAATTGCGATCCATTATCCCATTTAAATACATAATTGCCAATATTTTGTACCCTTTACCTCTTTAAATGAGACATCCAGTAGATTAGAGATGATTCAGTTTCAAAAGAAATTGAATAAATATTACGCCCTCGAAGATTGTTTGAGGTTACAGACAACCTCGACGACGGCTTTTTCAGCTTACCATCATCACATAAACAATGACACTTCAAGACATTCCACATTACATTGGAAACTGCAGTTTATAATGGACGCGGCAGGTGGCTAAGTAATTTGCGTAAAAGCGCGAAATTCAAACGGGACACATCATTCTCACTATTTCTTAATGTACGTATGAGGGTTGTTTTATTTGTTTAATTATGTAAGAACGACGCGATGGATCAGCGTTTATTATCATTGCCAGCGATTATTAGTGCCTGATAATAATTAACGCATTAATTAATAACAATACCATCTATCTATATTTTACCTATCTCGTTAATCTCTGACAGATTACTTGGATGCGTTTTTAAATTATTGCTGTATACTTTGTTTAAGAGAAGCCAATTCGTCATTTTAACAATTGCATAATTTATGTTAGAAGACTTGATGGTATCGAACGAAGCTGCGGTTGAAGCTGCATGAAACATATTATTAATACTTTGAACACAAGAAATTGAGTTTTTAAGCAACAATTGAAAAGCTCAAATGTACATCTCGTTGATTCGATAATTATATACGACCAACAAAGGACTATTATAATTAAGGGATTGAAAAAAAAATGTGTATAAACATGTGAATTTCACATTAATTAAAGCATGGACAATTGAAGCAACAACTTGAAAAAGTGCTTATTGTAGTAAGATTATTATTTATAAATATGAGCTATAAATATCAGTAAAAATAAACAATCAGAATAAACAATACTTTTATTATTTATAATAATGTTACGCGGCTGTTCGTATTTATTAATGAAAAATTGCTATAGCTATCTTAAAAATCAATCCATTAACTGAAATATAATGACGTTAGCTTTACATCGTACAATAATAAAAATATCCCATACGTAATTGGCGAATTATTTGAATTAGCAATTATTTTTCATATTTTTCGTACCTATTAATTGAGCATTGAAGTAAGCCATTCGCTCATTTAAATAATCTAAGTGACAATTTTTCGTAGAAATAATTATTCACAATTAAATTTTATAAAATTGCCAATGACAAGATTTATCAAATGCCATGGAATCTATACGTATTGTCTTAATGCCATTGGAGATAATTATCACTAATTATAATTGTAAAATGAAAACATAAGTCCAAGCATATTAAATATGTCGATAATAAGAAGAAAGGAGAAGGCGGCGCTTACGCTCTCCCCGGTTCTATCTTCGTTTCTATCCCAGTCTTAATCTTGGGAAGGAAAGAAGGTCGTGGGAGTTAATCGGACTGGAATTTCTGGCAAATAATGCTCGAGGCTCGAGTCACAATGAATGGCACTTGCTCGCAATTCTTCAGCCGCTAAAATCGTATCACCGTCCGCTCGCCTCCCAACAGTTAGTCAAACCGAACTTTCTAATACACTGTTAATAAGAATCTTTGCTCGTTCCTCGGATTAACGAGGCAAAGACGAAGACGAGTTTCGCGGGATAGAGCCACATCCGTGCTTTCTCTCGCGGGTCGACAGCAATAACGTCCCATTCTTCTGCCCGCGCACTTGTAACGACATTCATTAGCTTTTCGAAATTATCGCTGATTCCTTACTCCATTACAAGCGATGTCTCGGCAGTCACATTAATCCAGCCGTTTAGCCGTAAAATCTTACATTTCCAGCAATCTTTTATGCGCAACGAAATAGAAAAATAAAAAAAAGTTTCATTCCTAACGCCAAAATAGCAATGGAAATGAATAAAAAAGTATTGCACTGAATAATAAATATCTTGAGAAACCGAGCTTTATTTAGCCAAGTTAAAATCGCCAAAAGAACCGACTGTAAGTTAGAAAAAATAATCAACGCATTGCTTTCTTAGCATATATATATATATATATATATATATATATATATATATATATAGAGAGAGAGAGAGAGAGAGAGAGAGAGAGAGAGAGAAGAGTTATTCGCAAGTAAGATCCATTTATACGAGTACGTGCAATAGACGCTTCTCAGAAGAAAACTAAAAATAATTTTAAATCGTATATAAGATATTCTTAAAAAAAATTTTATATTTAAGATACTGACGATAGAAATGGAGAAACGAAAACGCAATCTTTAATTATACCAACATTCTATGCACACACTCGATCATTTATGATTGTAAATTCTTAATTCTTAATGTATCGTTGAAACAATATTGACATTAATTTTACAACTACTGTTCGAATTGATTTGATTTTGATCTTACAAAAAAATGCTTATCTTATAAAATTATAGCAGTCGTAGTAAAGGAAATTCTAACTCTATTTATACAAACAATACAATGCTTATTACAATGAAACAGAAATAATAACAATGATAATAATAACGCGTAATTGAATATGGTCGTGAGCATTGTCTAGCGGAGGCTGGACAGGTGATGGGAGCAGCGGTATGTTCGACCGATGAAGAAGTCGTAGAGAAGCTGAGCCACGGGTGGTTACACCCAGCATGCTGGATTACAGAGTTTTTTTACGATATACCGATAGAAGGATGAGTGGTTAAAGATGTAGAATCGTTGTATCTTTCATCTCATTAAATTAGAAGTAAACTAAATAAAAAGGAGCATCGATATTCATCAATTTTTCGATGTCGATGATAATTTTCAAAAGTCGCTTTTATCATCAAATCATTTTTTTTATATTCCTTGCTTACACGAAATTTATTATTTATTAATCGTAGTAAAATATTGTAAGGTGCTTTTGTATACCTTGGCGTTGCATTGATTCCAACTCAAATATCGTTTATAAGCCGTTAAAAGCTAATATTATTGATCATCGAGTCTTACACACCCCATGTACTTACCAATCGTGTAAACACGCCCATCGGTCACCACATATGTATAAGTATTGAACGATCATATTATTATTCTAGACATTGCCTACTTCAAGATTATCAATTAACAATGTAATTATAAGAGTTATTTGCTTACCTGTAGGTAACTTGCTTTTGACTCGTCTTTTGACACATTACAGCCAAAGGGTATGGCTTAATTGACAGCAAAGTTATCGTAATTAGATATTGCAGCCAGATACTCGTACAAGAATATTGCATAATTTGAGAAATTGTCTATTTAACTAAGGAAAATGAACTATTATACTCAAAAAAATTACTTATCGAATGAATACTTCAAAATTGAATATGAATTTCATGAATCTCCTTAATAATTTTTAATAAAGAAAGAAAGATGGTAATTTGTCAAATGAGAAAAAAATAAGAATTAAATTTTCCGTTTTAATATAACGACTGAAATTATAGTTTGTTATAAGATCGATAAAAATTTATGTTAGTACTTTTATAATATTCTTGAAATTATTCGCGCAATTTAAAAATCTCTTCTCACTTACAAATTCAAGATTATAACGGTTATAACATAATAAATGGCTATCAGCTCAAATTGTAGAAGTGCTGAAATTATCGACTGATTAGAAAGAAAAACAAAATATTCATTTGCTAGGATAATAATTGTGCATCCCGTTGACCCAGTGACGACTACATGACTGTGATAAAACAAAAAAAAAAAAAAAAAAAAAAAAAAAAAAAAAAAAAAATTTTTGAGAAATATTTTAAATATACCATAATAATATAAACTTTAAACCGTTTTTTCACTTTTACGTTAAACAAAAATTTATATTCCATGGGAATGATAAAGTGTAGTTGCATAATTACAAATCACTTAAATCGAAACGTCCGATGTGCTTTGAAAATTAACGTATAAATTATGATAATAAATCGAAATAGTAGGATGGGGGGTTCGTTTAAAATTTATTGATTTAAATTATTTTATATTCACATTTTTGCGAATAGTTGATTTACGAATCTAAAATCGAGTTAAATGCAAACCTACATTATTACGCGTTTTCAAGAGTTTAAATTAAAAGTTAATTTATTGAAAGTACATTTCCAAATTGGCAGACTAGTTGTACAAATAAAGGATGAATTACAAAAATCAAGGATTATTTATTTCATCTTATCGAATTTATCATAAATGTTGCGCAAAGAAATTTTACTTTAACAATTTTACTTATAATTTATAAGAAAATTTATTTTTTAAGATTATTACAAAGACTGCAATTTCAAATAGAATAAATACAATGACTATGCTAATATTATGTGCTAAATATTTAAAAAAAAAAAATAATATTTAACAAAATATAACAATTCTCTTTCTCACAATTCTTTAAATTTAAATACAGCTTTTTCGCGGCTTACAACAAAAATTAATAATACTAGCATATATTTGGTCTTTTTGATTGCATAATGAAATTTACACAATAAATATATTGAATAAATTAATTTTACGAAATAAATATGATTTAAATAAAACAGTTTTATATGAAAGTAATTTTTCATACAATAAATTATTGAAAAATAATAACGTGTACAATGTAATTTTAATAAAATGTATTAAATGTAATTATAAAATAATTATTCGAAATGTAAAGAAATGAAAGCAAAATTTTTAGCGTTAAAAAATTTTTAAACATTTGTACTGTCTACTTATATTTAATTGTCATAAAATTTTATAATATTAACGAGGTGACGATTTACTCGCATTTTCACTAATCTCCTTTTTTTTTAAAGACATTCATTTTTAACCGCATGAAGAGCATAATTTATTGACTTTAACGGCGTCCATGACCACTGATATGTCATAGGATTATAAAGGAGTCCATGAATTAATCTTGTATTACAATTGCCTTTAAAATATTATCTAAATTAAACATTTGAAATGATAAATTGTGTACATAAGCCAATGTACAGAATGTACTTACATTCATTCAATAATCGTCTAGTATCTTCGGGAGATATAAATTTATTCCAATCATGAGTTCCGATTGGCAAAACTTGTAAAATATATTCGGCTCCAATTATCCCAGCGAGATAAGAAATTAAATTTTTGTTAATTGTTGTAATAAATATAGAGCCTTTAGGTTTTAAAAGCTTCACGCAACTCTGAAAGATACATGCGCATGGATAAAATAAAGATTGTAATATCAAATTTTAAATTATAAATTTTAGGTTTCACACTTTCAGAAATAAACTTTGGTCGATCACGTGTTCAAGAATTTCTGATGCTACAACTACATCGTACTTTTCCGTAGTTTCTTCCGAAAATTCTTCCACGGATTTATTTACATAAGATAAATTTGACGATATACTCTCGTCCAATTTTTTATGTTCGTTTGCAATAGCAACAAGCTCCTTCGAAGCATCGAGACCCGTAACATTAGCTCCGATCCTAGCCAGAGGTTCGGATAAAATACCTCCGCCGCAACCAACATCTAAGAGCATCAAACCCTTAAAAGGATAGTTTGGACTATTTTCAACAAAGCCCACATTTTTAAGGCCATCCTTGATAAATTGTATTCTTAATGGATTCATAGTGTGGAGAGGTCCCATTTCGCCATTAGGATTCCACCAATTCTGACAAAGATTCGAAAACTTGTTAAGTTCTTTGGTATCAACGGTAGTTGACTTTGATTTTGCAGATTCATTCTCTTTCAAATTGACCGTAGTGCTGATCGAAAGGACAAAATTCATCACTATTAATGAAATCAAATAGATAGATTTTTAAATTATATTTTAGTCAAACATGCTTAAACATTATAAAATTTCAATGTTAAAAAATTCTTTCTCATAAATGCATAGAGGTATTTAAAAACATTTTACGTACTATGCTCGTTTAAGCACTTTATAAAATATTAAAATTGAAGGTTATCATGCTTTGTTTACCAAAATCGTGAAACTGTTTGAATACCAATTTTAGAAGTGCGATTCATCATCGATAATTTCATGTTTTTTTTCTTTTTCAATGAATTTCTATCACTGTCGCCTGCAACTGTTAAAAATCAACGCACTTTAAATTCTCTAATGCAAATTCTCAATTTTGAAAATAATCTAATGCGTTAGGTTACGCATGGAATACACGCACACACACACATAGGCAGACAGACAGACAAAAACGAATACGTAACACTAATGCCGGCGATACTACATGACCGCAATATCGCATAGGGAATTACGGACATTCGATGTCACTAAGGTAAAATAATAAAATACCCCACAATATGAACATTTAAGTTTTGCCGCGCAAGACTAAATGATGACTAAATGGCCACTAAAAAACCAACGGTTCGACATAAAATTCTCTACTACTTCCTCTCGAGTTCATACGAGCTTGTAGAATTTTATAATGACGGTCGATGCACGCTCGTTACAGATACAATTAAATCCTCGAATTTCCCATACTTTTTAAGTATCTACTGAACCCGTAGGAGTATCCGCGTGTGCCTTTAAAGGACTGTTGGAGAGGATTGGCGTCGAGCGTTGGTCGTGTGGACGGCTTCTCCTCCTATCGTCGTTTCGTCCAGCAGTGACAGCTTTTACGTGGCCGATGTGCCGACGAAACAACGGAATGACGGATAAATGAGCTCAGCACTCGGTTTCCTCGACTCGAGTCGAGTCAAGAGCTTCTCGAACGTCTCTCAGTACTTTTTCGTTACGATGATGGGCGACAATTCGCTCGTGGCGGTGCGATTCAGACCGGAAGATTCATGGATGTCAAGAGCAGTGTTCACGAGGCAAAAGACATTTACTTTCTTACACGAGTGTCTGCCTACAGTAACGCTGCTTTATTATTTGAACGTACTGGCAAAAGAATTCACAAGTTTAGTTTGTTGCGAACCTTCTATTTTTCGAAGCAGATTGTTGTATTACAATATGCATTTTAACATTTGCTCAAATTAATACATAAATATATAATATACAATATATATAAAGGAAAGGGTGGATGATCGGTAGATGGTCGGGGTGAGCTTTATAAATAGGGGACGACGAATGCAACATTCTTTTATCAATGGCTTTTACAATTTACAATTACATTGTAATAAAAACGGTCGATATATCATTTAAAAATTGCATACTTACCTCTGACATTCATAAATATACATAAGGTTTCCGTTAATTTCTTATGTTTTTGTTAATTCGCTGCAATAATGCGGCAAATAATTCGATATTGTGACACCTCGGATAATTTGCAAGAATAGAAGATAATTAAATGATCCAATGACAAGAGAATTTATTTTCAATCAATGTCTCGTCTACTTTCTGAAATATTATGTCATCCATTGAACAATATTTCCAACAAATTAAGATTATTTCATTATTTTATGGTAAAATTATATATAAAAGACTTTGAATAAAAAGCTTATTATAACGAATAGTGCAAGGTATACTTATGTTTGAGATTTAGATATAATTATTCTTTAAGGCGCTTATTTTTAAAGATTTTTATTTATTAATACATTGATGTGCATTACGATTCAACTAAAATACAAAAAATACAAAAAAAGAACAAAAACAAAAAAAAAAAAAAAAAAACAAAAATAAGCAAGAAATGATTAAACGTTGAAAAATTATATACATACATATATTTGCATGTAACGATTGAACAATAATACTGTAAACAAATCACTTTCCCTTATATGCTTTATATCACTTTTTAATTTAACATTGATTTAACATTGATTTAACATTGATTTAATATTGATTTAACATTCAACCCTCATCTGCAACCTTTATCATTATAGATCAAGCAGAACGCATCACTCTTCCTTACCTATTTGCTCCATTTGTTTCCTAGTCTTTTTTGCCAATGTCATTCCTACTTACATCCGTTACTCACACACTTGTTCTCTTTATTTGTTCATGACATCCAGCAGACCTTTCATCACCCGTACAACAAGTTTTTTACGTATTATACTTTCTATCTGATGTAACTTATTATTTTTATAGTCCAGCATTACAATTTAATTATCCAATAATACAACAAATTATTAAATATATTTATCAAGCTCTGTAGCATACGAAGGAATTTCCATTGAAGAATTTTTAACTTGCAAAGTTATTTGATATACTAATATTAAATGAAATTTTCAAATTTTTATTCTGTCATCGATATTATCAATTTTTAGTTAACCCTAGTTTATAAACAGGAACAATTAATAAAAAAAAAATAAAATAAAATAAAATAAAATAACAAATAAAAAAAAAAAGATATAAATTAATATTATTAAATCGCAACTGACTTATAAAGAAAATATATAGAAACACGTTAGACAAGACAAGTTTTTTTTTCTTTAGTTATACTAGTAGATATTTTCAATCCACGACACTGTTAAAGTAATTCTTCTGGAAATTTGTTAAATGGAAAAAATAAAAACTAACGAGACTAGTACTAAGGAAACACGAGACCCAAAGAGTTAATACGTCTAAGAGCTTGTAATTTCGTAATGTTTAAAATAAAGAAAAGATTACTAAGACTAGTATCAGGAGATTATAGAAACTAAAAACGTAATAAAATCTACAGATTCGAGTTTCTAATTAAACATATTGACCGACATATTTATGTAAAAATCATTCATTATTATATATTATTAAATTGTTGCATTTATAAATTGTATATAAAAATAATATTAAAACAAGAGGCAATCTATACGTGTTTTTATTATAATTTTTTTTTTTTTTTACCAATTATGGAAATACCGAACAGTTTTGTGAATTTATCGAATATATAACATTTATCGATAACATAACATCACTTTACAAATATCTGTTATAAATATACTATTTTTAAGTAGTCCATTTTTATGAAAAATAATTGAAAGAAGATCTGATTTTTATAAAAAGTAATAGTATTTAATTATAACAATAAGGAAGCAATATTCTGATTATATAAAACAATTACTTTATATATTTCTATCACTTTTTTATAAAAAAAAAAAAAAAAAAAAAAAAAAAAAAAAAAAAAAAAAAAAAAAAAAAAAAAAAATTTAAATAATTTAAAAATTTACACGCTACTAATAAAGAATTATTAAATTTATCAGTAAAATAAAATAAGGGTAGTATTATTTAATAATTTTATTAGAATTTTATAAGTATCCTATTTAAAAAATAAAAGTTTTATACATTAATAAACATGTAAATATATAAATACAACTAGAATTAACAAAATATTGATGTATATTACAGTGAAATAGATGTAAATCTATATTTGTGTGTGTGTGTGTGTGTGTGTGTGTGTGTGTGTGTGTGTGTGTGCGCGCGCGCGCGTGCGATTCATACAACGATACCGGTTATGTCAAAAATAATGCTTTTATTTTTATGAATAATCGGTATGAATTGAATTCGCCTGCAATTTATCGTTAAATACTTTTTAACCCAGAAATTATCCATTTCAATATCTAGCAATTAATTTCTTGCCTTTTACTATTTACAAAGAGAACTGCTATTAACTTGATCGATTATATCTTAATTTATAATCAAATTAGCACTAAAATAATATTTTATTAATATTTTAATGGAATTATATTTCTTTTTATTATATATTTAAAGTCATTGTTAAAATTAATTTATTCCCGCTTCTCGGATTATGCAATTGTATTTTATTATTATTTCCTGAAATGAGAATTACTATAAAATACACCATCGTATAATGTATTTATTATATTTACATGTACTATATAGTAATAGATACTATATAATACTTGTTACAATTATATAAGATTTTGTCGTTGCAATATTTTCTGAACTTGGTTAATTACAAACTATGTAAATAATGTATAACAAATTGTACTTATTATGATTAGTTTATAACAAATATGTTATTCTTGCATTAAGAGTTAATATTCTCAACAATGCATCAAAATCAAAGCAAAAATTTATTAAATTAAATAGTTAAAAGCTTCATACGAAGTGACAAATCAAGCTAATAATAAAAGAACGTGAAACTATATAAGAATTAAGAAGAATTAGTTTTTAATCTAACAACACGATTTCATTGCTCTCTCTCTCTCTCTCTCTCTCTCTCTCTCTCTCTCTTTCTCCACGACATTCTTGTCACTCTCAAATTGAATTAGCTAATTTTTCCTTACGTGTTTAATAATTTTCAGATTCTTATTAAAATTTCTTCAATACTTTTTTTTATTAATGACATAATTTTTATAATAACATCCTACTTAAATGTAATTACTATAAAACATACATCAACATATTCAGTCACACATATACAATTAAAGACATTGTGCAACATGAATTTATATGCATTCTATGCTTTCTTCCATCGGTACTAACACATTTACACTTTGTATTTATAATTACGGATTTAGAAACGTTGTATCTTCATTTACATATCAAACATACACCTTCGCATTTTACGTTTATTCAATTTATATATATATAGATATAATATTCATCGATTTAAAAAAATGTTAAATCAATCAATCATTTTCAAAATGAAGTAAAAATTTAAATTATAAATATTTAAATTTAAATTATTTTATTTCGGATAATAAGATATTGTTTAATGAGACTACAGATGAAAGAGATAGTAAAGTGCACTACGAATTATGTTTTTGACAGAAAAGGATTGGTTGAAGTCTTGTAATCATGGAAAATATTAACTGCACATGCCGAACTATTAAGTGAAATTGATCGCCTGATGAAATCTGCCATTTACCACTGAATGTGAGTCTTTCTCTTTTAGAATTCAATAAGAGGATACGAATGTGCCTTTCTATT